TAAAATTCTTATTTTGCCCTTTGTGTCTGGTAGAATTACAAGGACGACGCGGGGACATATGGACCTATAATTCTGAGCTCCAATGAAATTAATAATTAATTAAACACTTTAATTAATTTATTAATTCTATTAATTCCAATAGTTACTCCACTATAAACTTGGAATTGAACTCTCGAAATTATAGACATTTATTACTTCTAAACTGCGAAGTGTCCATTTGATATAGTCATTACATATAGATCAATCCTCCATAAATAATTCATAATTAGAGTCAGGTGGAATCCGTTAACCTCTCTAATTACATCTTTATCCTTGAGTACCATTGATTCTCTAATGGATAGTGATTCATAAAACACATTCATGAACCAGAGCGCTCTTACTAATCCAAGTACCGAATCAACACTCAAGAGAATTATTTATCTGCTTCTTTCTCAAGAAGGAATGGATTCCATCTCGTATAATAACATTCCCAGCTACCTATTTCATTATGTCTCCAAAATACAAGGAATAGGATTCAGGGTCTCGGAATCCGTACTGAGTAAATCAAAAGACATAAATCCATAAATAGGAGTTTGTTAAGAACTCAGGATTAAGATCATCCTATATATGACCATCGGTAGACTCAATTAGAATTTCTATGCTTAACGGAAATTATTAGAAATTCATATTGTGTCTGCGTCCATATTCCACATAATCTCATTATGCGAAATACACTCATTCAATATCTCGTCATATTAACAGTGCGGATAACACCGTTCCATTCTAAATGGGAATGACATGTATTAATAATGTTTTAATTAAAGATTCTGAACTTTAATTAAATTCATTATGAACAATTACTTTTGATTATTATCCTTAAACATTATCCTCTCGTATACAACACTTATATACCATGTTTAAGGTTACATAAATAATCAAGGAATTTTATTTGATATTCATAAAATATTCATAAATATATGCACATAAAATGATGAATAAACTCTTTTATTAAATAAATAATAAATATCATTTTACATCTCATACTTCTAGGACACTATTCCCAACAATCTCCCACTTATACATATTTACAATTGTAAAATTTTCATATGCTAAATTGTACAGGGCATATATTGAATTGTTCAACGTGTAAATATACAAGACTTATACTTAATTGTACATCTTTACATGTAAATATACACGATTTATACTGAATTATACAACTGTCATTTCAATCCGGCAAATAATAGGTGCCGTTTTAAAGACTTTGCCTATATATATATATATATATTAGGATTATTGGAATTCCTAAGCTTAAAGTTAGACTTATGACGTGAGTTCTTATTTAAAAAAAAAAAAAAAAACAAACAAAACTTGTGGCGTGAGTGAAATTGCTAACAAATGTCTATTAAAAAATTGTGAGGTACCATCAACAGCAAGACTATAAATTAACTATATATTAGATTTTAAAACTTTTTAAAGTAAATACTAATTTATTATGTAAATGTGTCATTTACTGTAGCACCTCATTTTTCTACTTAAGGGTAAATAGGGAATTTAATGTTAGAATTTACAGTAATGATATCTAGATAGTTTCTGTTGGTAATAGTGTCCTAAAATCATGAGATATAATAGGATATTTATCATTTATTTAATAAAATAGCTTATTCATTATTTTTTGTGCATATATTAATGAATATTTTATAAATATCAGTGAAAATTCTATGATTATGTATGTGAACTTAAATATTGTATATAAGTGTTATATACAAGAAGATAATATTTAAAGATAACAATCAAAACGATGTTCGTAATTAATTTAATTAACGTTCAGAATCTTTAATTAAAATATTACTAATACATGTCATTCCCATTAAGAATAGAACGATGTTATCCACACTGTTAATATGACGAGATATTAAATGAGTGTATTACGCATAATGAGATTATGTGGAATAGGGACACAAACACAATATGAATTTCTGATAATTTCCGTTAAGTATAGAAATTTTAATTGAGTCTATGGATGGTCATATATAGAATGATCTTAATCATGAGTTCTTAGCAGACCATTATTTATGGATTTGTATCTTTTAATTTACTCGGTATGGATTCCGAGATCTTGAATCTTATTCCTTATATTTTGGAGATATGATGAAATGACTAGCCGGGAATGTTATTATAAGAGATGAAATCCATTCCTTCTTGAGAAAAAAGTAGATAAATAATTCTCTTCGGGGTTGATTTGGTACTTAGACAAGCAGGTGCGCTTCGATTCATGAATTTATTTTATGAATCAGTGTCCATTAAAAAATCAATGGTACTCAAGTATAAAGATGTAATTAGAGAGGTTAACGGATTTCACCTAGCTCTAATTATGAATTATCTATGGATGATTGATCTTAATGCAATGACTATCTCAAATTGACACTTCATAGTTTAGAAGTAATTTATGTTTATAATTACGAGAGTGCAATTCCAAGTTTATAGTGGAGTAACTTTTATAATTAATACAATTAATTAATTAATTAAAGAGTTTAATTAATTATTAATTTTATTGGAGCTCAGAATTATAGGTCAATTAGTCCCCGCGTCGTTTTTATAATTCTACAAGACACTAAAGGCAAAATGAGAATTTTAGAATTATAAAATTCTAAAATAAAATGCTCAAGGGTAATTAATTGAGAATTAATTATAAATTAAATAATGTGATTATTTAAGTTTAAGTTTAAATTTGAATCTTGAAACACACATGTGAATGTGTTCACATAGTGTGAACGCTAAGCACAGAGAAATTCAAATTACTTGCTCTCCATAGTTATCTAATTAACTTATTTGATAAGTTATTCAATTTGAAATTGAAATTGATTTAAATTTGATTTAAATTAGAATTTAAATTTAAATTTATATTTGACTGCAGGATAAAATTTTTCCTTATTCTTTATATGCAAAATTACGCCTAGCACAGGGAGGAAATCCCTTAGTGGTGGCCGGCCATATTGGATAACGGAGAGTGGTTTTGTGTTTCAAAATAAAATTTGAAGTGAGATAATTAACAAGCTTTATCTTGGAGATAAAAATAAGACTTCTTCTGGGAGTCTATCTGTTACTCAATAAAATAAAATATTGTAGAGAATTGTGAGACACTATTTTTGCTCTCCCTAGCATAGGTGGTCAAATTTTATAGAGTGGGGACTCACAAAAATTTCATGTCGTGCACGTGTTGGTGTTTGTGAAAAACTTCTGTGTTTTCTTGTTAATCCCGTTTTGTTTCTATATCAAATTAATACTTCACCGTTTAGAAGTAATTTATGTCTATAATTACGAGAGTGCAATTCCAAGTTTATAGTGGAGTAACTTTTAGAATTAATATAATCAATTAATTAATTAAAGAGTTTAATTAATCATTAATTTTATTGGAGCTCATAATTATAGGTCTATTAGTCCATGTGTTGTCCTTGTAATTCTACCATAATGAGAATTTTAGAATTATGAAATTCTAAAATAAAATGCTCAAGGATAATTAATTATAAATTAAATAATGTGATTATTTAAGTTTAAGTTTAAATTTAAATTTTGAAACACACATGTGAAGGTGTTCACATAGTGTGAACGCACATCACAGAAGGATTCAAATTATTTGCTCTCCATAATTATCCAATTAACTTATTTGATAAGTTATTCAATTTAAAATTCAAATTGATTTAAGTTATTGGAATTTGAATTTAAATTAAAATTGGATTGTAGTATAAAATTTTGTCATATTCTTTATCTGCAAAATTGCGCCTACCACAAGGAGAAAATCCCTTAGTGGTGACCGGCCATATTGGATAAGGGAGAGTGGTTTTTTGTTTCAAAATCAAATTTGAAGTGGGAGATAATTAACAAGCTTTATCTTAGAGATAAAAATAAGACTCAGTCTGGGAGTCTGACTGTTACTCTATAAAATAAGAGATTATTTTGCTCTCTCCATAGGTGGCCGAATTTTATAGGGTGAGGACATGAAAAATTTTCTCCAAAAAATTTCATGTTGTGTATGTGTTGGTGTTTGTGGAAAACTTGAGTGTTTTCTTGTTAATCCCATTTTGTTTCAGGTGTACCCACACACACGTTTTTTAAGATTTAAAGAATTGACGATGAAGATTCAAGTGTTCTAAACTAGCATTGGAGCGGGAAACGTTTGAGGTCAAAGAACACAAATTATCATCCTAATCGGTTGTTAGGTATAATTCTTAATTCGGTTCTTGGTAAATAAATTAATGTGATTAATTTATTCGTGTATAAATTAATATAATTTATAAAGTATCTCAACAGTTTTATAAAATATTTTATTATAGACGATCTGCAGTTTCTAGTAACATGTTATTTAGATGTTACAAGTGACAGCGATGTGCTATAAAGATTCATGCTAATTATGTGAGGATTATGAATTTATAATGTGACGAGATATTTTGTATTTGTGAGTTTCTTATAATTTAATTGGGTGTTCAAATCTTAATTAAAATAGATCAATCATATATAAATGTTATTTACTTTTTTTGAATATATATATATATAACGATATATGTTAGATGTGCTTAAAATAATGTGTATAAATATCTCTATTGATACATATACTCACGATATATAATTATGTAGAATACATATACTGTATATAATAAGTTATATACCAGCGTATCTGATATATTATATTATGTTTATTGGGTTTTTGATTGGTTGTTGAATTATTTAGGGCATTACGCTTATTTTCGTGTAAATACCTTGCAGCTCGTACAATTCAGTGATTTTTAAGGCCTTGTTCATTTCACCGATTCGAGTTTAGAATTCGAGTTTTGCTACAGTAAAAAGCCCTCAGAAACAATCAAATCTAACTTTTTTACTACAGTAAAAAACTGACATAAAGTCACATCTTACTTTGAATTAAAAACTCGAATCAACGAACTAAACGACTCTGTGTTATCTTATTTGTATTTTTCTCATATTTTCTTCAAAAATTTGACATCTTAAGCTTTCATTTGGCTTTTGAATCGCTTAAATCGATGGTTCTGACAACTAGTTATGATTTTTCAAAATTAACTCAGAAATCTGTCCGCTTTTACAAGGATCTGAATTTTTGACTGGTTTCTGAGGACTTATTTGTCATGCAAATTATTGTTAAAATATGCGTATAATATATCAAGCCCTTTTTTTTGGGTCTATTTTCTAATGCGACTGGTCTTTAACTGATTTGGACTTAAGATGAAATTAATATGGATTTTTAAGTGAATAAAGGTCATCTTGCCTACTTTTAGGACTTATATTCTAAGTTTGAAATAGTGATTTTGTACTGTTTAATGTTTATATGTAATGAGATGATATCAAATGATGGTAAAAAGATGTTTAGATGTTATTAATAATATGGTTAGTGACTTATGATCAATATAAATGTTTGGCACGAACTTTTTAAAGAGGTGAGCGCATTAAGAACTCAAGTTGTCATATCACCGTTGAATAAAGTTAGAGGTCAAGTAAATACATCTAACCTACAATATTGATTGTTCAAGATTAAAAGATGTTAGTGTTGATGATTTCTGATCTTTTAAGATGATGATTTTTAATAATCTTATCTTTACCTCATTATTTGATGGAAACATTTTTGATGAAAACCTTTATATATGTTATATTGATGTTATTATTTGGATGTTTTAAAAAGGTGTTGTACACCTTGATGGATGGAGAATGGGATAATGGGGTCCAGTGAATAGTAGCTTTATTCTGTCGTAGTTGATTTAAAACTAACTACCCCATATTTTTTGTGACGCACGTGTTATGACAGCACAACTCCAGAGCCATGCTACAAAAGAATATTTTGAAGTATTATATAAATATTATTTTAAGTATATATTTATTAATTAATAAAAATTATTTCAACTAATGTTATTGATCGATGAAAATGTTTTTGTGAGGATTAGAATGTACTAAGAGTTATGCTTACTAGAGAGTTAAGTATGATGAAGGAGGAACTCGGTGAAGATGTATGTGTAGTGGCGGAAACGAAATATCGGAACGACAACATTATGAATTTTACGATTTATACTTTTATGTAATTATTTATAATTTCCCAGATTTTTAAATTTATGGTTTATTTTATGAATTTCCACAAGCCAAAGATGTTTTGTTAAGCATAAGGTTTTTTTAGTAATGTTGCAACCGTACTTTTATTTTTGGATGAAGTTTATTTTGACTTTTTTTTTTTAAAGTTCAAGCTACTTTTTGTATTATTTTGTTATTTTAGATTTCACAAAGTTTAATTATATCATAAATTATAGATGTTATAAGATGATAACTGTAGTGTCTTGTAAGGTTGTTAGATTTAGGATTGGTAAAAATAATTTACGTAGTAAACATTTTTTTTTACACGAAAAAAATCTTTTAAGAGAGTTTGATAAATATGTGTTATTTTTCAACATCACATAATTTATTCTTGCCGGTCGTCGTTCTCGTTCGTTTCTGACGTCACAGTTCTATTTCGTCGGTGCACTTTCTCTTTTCACGAGCCGGCCTTGTCACCGGATCTAGTCAGATCCGGCCAGATCTGTTCCAATCGCGAATGACGGCGCCGATCTCTTGCGGAAGACCCGCGATCCTTCTCACCACCGCTCTGCTCTCTCCTCTCTGCTGCCACCGTCAGGTTTAATTTCTTCTACTTTTCGTTCTGTTCTTTTTTTTTTCTTGGTTGTTTTCCTGAGAAAATGTTTACTCTTATTTTTTGGGATCATGATCTCCTCCTCTGCTGCCACCGTCAGGTTTAATTTCTTCTACTTTTCGTTCTGTTTTTTTTTCCTTGGTTGTTTTCCTGAGAAAATGTTTACTTGTGTTTTTTGGGATCATGATCACTTAGGCTCCGTTCATTTCGCCGATTCGAGTTTTGCTACAGTAAAAAGCTCTCAGAAACAGTTACATTTAACTTTTTTACTACAGTAAAAAGCTCTCACACAAAGTCACATCTCAACTCGAATCAACGAACTAAACGGGTCCTTAGTGCTTTTGAATGTGATTTAGAGTTCATTAGGTCTAAAGTAGGTCAAAATTTTAGCTGTTGGAAATTTTGATCGATCATAGTTAATCCTTGTGGAAATCTATAGAAGTTGTTTGGACGGAGGGAAAAAGTTCATGTTTATTTTCACAGAAGTTTCAATTACTATTGCTTTTGCTGGAAGGCAAAGATTTTTTTATTTTGTTTTTTTTTTGTTTGTTTGTTTGTTTTTTTTTTTTTTTTTGGGGAAAAAGAATGAAAAAATTATAGGATTGTTCAGTTGCATTTTTAAGTTATGATGATTTGAGTATAAATCTTAAACTGAATTTGAGTTAAAGTTGTAATTTGAGTTTATATTTAGATGTGCACATTTAAGTTATAATTTAAATTGAAAATCTATTTGAGTTTGTGTTTAAATAAGTTAAAATTAAAATTTATATTTAAATAGTATTTTAATAAAAACTCAATGGTGAAAAAAAATTTTAATATAATATATGGATGAAATTTTATTCATTTTTTCGTTGTGAAAACATAAAAAAAAAAACATCTCAATCGAAATTAAAACGAAAAAATTGACCTTTTTAAGAATAAAAAAATATTATTCATTAACTTGAGTTTGAGTTTAAAAACTTAAGTTAAAATGGAAACTTAAACCTTATTCATTTCACCGATTCGAGTTTTCAATTTTAAGTTTCTACAGTAAAAAATTCTCATAAAATGTCACATCTAACTTTTTCTTCTACAATAAAAAACTCTCAAAAAATGTCACATCTCAACTCGAATTGAAAACTCAAATCTACAAAGTAAACGAGACCTTAAATTCAAATTTTAACTCTAAACTCAAGTTAAAACTTAAGTTAAAACTCAAATTTTACAAACGAACATAAACTTAAATAAAGTTATAACTTGAGTTCCAACTTTTTTTGAATTTTACTTTAAAAAAACAAACCCATAATTATTAAAATTGTGATTTAAATATACGTAAATAAATTATAATTTAAATTAAAAATAAAATTTAAATTGTATTTAAATAAAGTGTTAAAATTTATCATTAAGATTTTGTGATAATTTTTATAAAATCTCCTTATAAATAGCATCTAAAAATATGCAATATAAATAAAAATTTATTCCTCTCTTCTCTGAGTTTATTATTAATCTCATTGTAAAGGTTTATTTCAACATTAGTTAATAAATAACCAAAATCAATCAACAATTAATCAAGTTCAATTAACAAATTATATATTTATTGTATAGATTAATTATTGATTGACTCATGTAAACAAAAAAAATCATTTTTATAAAATAAAAAAAGTTAAATAGGTTAAAAAATACCACCCATATATATTTACTGCAAAGTCCGCATAGCAGGCCTTAACGTGTTTTCAGAGAGCATATTTCCTGCTCAAATAACTTAATTGGGCCCAGTTCATCAATTCTTTCCTTCATTTGATTCTCTTCCCATTTTATATTCTTTTTACACAGTCACCATGAAGAGATACCAATCCCTCAGTTGCAAGTGTGGTAACTGCATTTCTCAGCTGCAATAATACCAATAAAACAAAGCCATTAGAATGACCATTCAATCCATTTATTAATTTGTTGTGTGTGTGTGTGTGTGTAGAGAGAGAGAGAGAGAGAGATACTAACATCATTGAGGTGAAATTCAGTGCCAGAGCTCTGCTTCTTCAACTCCTCCAATAACTACAGCAGAAGCAAAGGAGATTACATGTTAGTTTCTTGAGAAAACGAAGGAAAATGAATATTTTACACCTAGTTAGACAAACCTCCAACAAGCGCATTGAGGGTCCTCCTAGCTGCATTTTTTCCATGATCATGTTGCGAGTTGCTGATAACAGACTCTCCCGCCTCATCCTTTCACTGGCCGAAATTCCGGTCGTGATGAGATCCATGTCGATTGTCCCTGGGATTTTTGGAGGATTAAAAGAAACTCATCGGGAGCTATATCACATAAAAGAGTTTGGTGCAGTAGGAAAACTACCGGTGGAGTGATCTGTTGCTGACTGTTGCATTGCAACTTCCAGAAGCCGAAATGCCTCAATTACATCAGACTTCTCGACCTGCATGCATCACAGCATAAGTTCAATTTATACTTGTGTTAGATACAATTTGTGCTACTAAATCCCACGGCAAGATTTACTTACCACTTCTGAAAAACGAATCCGAGCCAAGGCTTCACTAAGACGTATCAAACTTTCAATCTGTCTGGGTGTTGCTGTTATAACCTGTTAAACGATCAAGACAAAGGACATTACGGCAGAAACAAGTAACGGATACCATAAATAATAGTATCTTAATTATGGGGTGGCAACAAGTAGATTGAATCAGATCTTGAAATTGAAAATAAAAAAAAAGAAAAGAACAAATCCAAATCAAGACCAGATTTATCTTTGAGAAATGAAACACCATAAAACACGGTACATCGTGTCTGCCCTGGATTAATAATAGAACGTTTGGTGTTGAATAAAATAAATCAACTTGGCAGAGACATAAAAGGAAGCATTTTGTTTTAACCAGCTAAGCTGAGAAATATTAGTTTTTTTACCTTTTTGCTACTGCCTGGGAAATTCCCTCTCCTCCTCAATTCAACATACCCTCGAGTTAACTCTTCAGCAGCTTCATCAGATAATTGCGGATGAATATGCTTTCTGGCATAGCTTACATAAGCTATCAATGTTGGAAGGTCCAAGACATCCTGCTCTATGCTCTGCAAGCAGACATTGTATTTAGACGTGAAAATACATTCAGAAAGTTTAATCCCACAAGCAAGTTCGCAAACTTTTTCACCGGACCTCAAGATTCTCAAAATGCAACGCAACAATATGCTTGGCAAGACGCCTGTCGGTATGCTCATCAGCCTTGTCAAGAATTAAGTAGATCAGATCAAACCTGAGATCAAATACCAAAGAGAAGTCGAGATCATTAACATTTCTACAACTCAATAGTGTTAAAAACCAATAATTTACACCCACCCACCCC